TCCTTCCTTCCTTCCTTCCTTCCTTTTTTTCTTTCTTTCTTTCTTTCTTTCTTTCTTTCTTTCTTTCTTTCTTTCTTTCTTTCTTTCTTTCTTCTTTCTTTCTTTCTTTTCAGTACTAGGAATCGAACTCAGGAACTTGCACTTGCCAGTGAGGCACTTATCCACTGAGCTATATCCCCAGCCCTCCAGCTATATCCCAATCATTTATCAATAGGGGACATTGGACCGAAGTAAGGGAACAATCACCACTTTCCTTTTGCAGAGGGCAGAGAGACAATGCTTACTACAGTGTAGAAGCAGAGAGGCCAGCAACTTCAACAATAGTGAGTGCAAGATTACTTTCCTGAGGGGCAGGCAGGCAGACAGCAGCGTTAACTTTACTTACTGTCTGTAGAATTTTGCTTTAATAGGACTTTGAATTCAACTCCAAGTTAAATTAAACATTGCTTTTCACAACTCCATTCTTGGAGTTTTATGGGGGAATAACAGCAGTAGAGGAGGTTGAGGGGCTTGAGAGGAAGAATACAGTGTAGTACTAAATAGACCTTCCTTTCATGGGGTAACTAGGATTAGATAGATATTATACAAGCTAAAATAACTGTGCACAAAGGATACACAAACAGTGATGAATGGCAGTGTGGACATGAAACTTGCTAGCTTGATGAAAGTGGGGTTTGGTGTTCTGTATTCTGTGTGGGGGATCTAACCCAAGATTACCTGTAAGCTGGGAAAAGAATGATCAGGGGATCAGAAGAATGACCCTGGGAAAAGAATGATCAGGTGATCAGACCATGAGAAACAAGAGAATTCTGGGGAGAGGGTCAGTAAGGGAAAGCGTGCCCATGACAGAAGTGGACAAAAGCCCAAGGTTTGGAGGAGGCAGAAGAAGAAAAATAGTACGTAAGAGAGTAGCAGAGACAAGGTGATACTGAGCCATCTGGGTAGAGTGAAGATTTTAGATTGAACTCCAGGTAAATTTTAATTTCCGATTAAAAAAAAAATACTCTGACTTTTACAGGTAGATTGATTTCTCTTTGGAAGATTGATATTTGTGGAGGAATCCAGTCAGAAATGCAGCAAGAAAGTCGTTGTGTGAAGCTGTTGCATTAACTGAAAAGGAGGAATTGGTGGTTAGACATGATGATGGTAGTTTTGGAAATGAAAACTATCTGTGAATGTAGGAATATGCTGGTCACAGAGAATACAGTTGTACCAATCTACTGAGGATCTTTTTGGTCCAATTTGGAGGGAGATCATGAATTGGCAAAGTGCAGTTCCCAAGTGGTTACTGGCTCTAGGTTTTGCGTGCCAGGGATTCCCTTTCATTGCTGCCATGGCTCCGGGACTGTTAACGGTTTGTGTCTAGTTGTCCCCCCAAAGCCTCTTGCAATAATGGAGTGGGGATTTCTAGAGTTTAAACTTAACTCATGATCCCTGGGATTATGGGTCTTAGTACTGCTGGGATTATGGGTGTGTGCACCTTCCCCAGCTTGGAGCGGTAGCCTGAATGCAATTTAAGGGAGAGAGACCTCCTCTCTCTGTTGCCATTGCTGCTGCTACTTCTGCATTTGTGCTTTGTTATTTGTCACCACCATGAAAAGTTGTCCTGTGCCATGTGCCACTCTGCCTTGGAGCCAGCCAGGTATGGACTGAAACTTCCAGTAAAAACTGTGAGCTAAATAAACCTTCCCTTCCTTCATTTTGGGTGTCAGGTATTTGTCTCAGCAACGACAGAAGAGTAACTGAGACAGGGACCAAGGGGAAGCAGTGACTTCTGTCTTGCTCTGTGCATGTTCTTTCTCTAGCAGAACCAAGGCAGAAATTCTTGAGAGAAATCAATTAAAAAATAGTAACGTCACAGGTCTTGGTATCACAGTCCTTCTTATCCTAACAGCTCCACTGTCCATGGCTTCGGGGCTGCCTCGGTCACTTTTCTCACTGCAGAGGTGAGAAATTCACACTCCTCCTGGCTCTTGGAAGAGACGGGCTTGGTCTCTTTTCTGTTCATCTGAGTGGGACAGATGCCCAGTTGGGGGTGGCAAGCTGAAGGCAACTGAGAACACTCAGAATTTGGCTTGAATAAATGTGTGATTGGGGCATTCGTGTACGAGGAAGTAGAAGACGTGGCTGTAGCACTTGGAGGTGGTGGTAAGGCAAACAGTTTCTTCTTTGAGAGTGGAAACGAGAGCTACACATCAGGCACTCAGTGTGACAGTTATGTCAGACAGTCACACAGAAAGGCAGGTTTTCCAGTCTGATGTAGTTTGATGGACATTCAGGTCAATTCTGTGAGAGATTTCCTTGTTATTATTTTTTTATTTTATTTTTATTTAGAGAGAGAGAGAGAGAGAGAGAGAGAGAGAGAGAGAGAGAGAGAGAG